ACACCTCCTCTGCCTGCGAGGACAGCGGTCCTGCTGCATCGGGGCCCACCCACGTGCCCTCAGTTTGCCCGCACACCTTCTCCAAAGGCCCTGTCCCCGAACAGAGTCATGTGCAAGGTCCTGGGATCAGCACTTTGACATATGGATTTGGGGAGGGTAGATATAATTCAGCCAATAACATATACTTTTGTAAAGTACAATAAAAATGAATTGCTAAAAAATGGGAGAGGGGACAAAGACATAAAAAAATGCCTACATTTTTTTATAATAATAAAAATAGGTTTCACCAATATACACTTGCTCTGCCAAAGGATTTGTAGCCAGAATACAGAAGTCTTACAACACAATAATCAAACCAAAATGTCCTTAACGGGCAAAAGATCTGCACAGGCACAAAAGAAGATACATGAATGGCTACTTAAGCCCACGAGAAGATGCTCCACAACATCTGTCATCAGACAGATGCAAAATAAAACCACACGAGATACCATTTCAGCCCTGGTAGGATGGCTCTGATCAAAAAGACAGACCGTAGTCAAGTGTTGGTGAGGAAGTGGAGAAACTCGAACCCACACCAACCCCTGGCAGCAATGCCCAACGATACAATCACTTTGGAAAGGAGTTGATGGTTTCCTTAAAAGTTAAACATACACCTAATTCATGACCTGAACGTCCTGCTCTGAGATGTTACCCAGAAACAATGAACACATACGTCCACACAGAAACCCATACACAAGTGCTCTCAGCACCTTTGTAGGTAATAGCCCCAAACCAGAAGCACCCAAATGCCATCAACAGGAGAGTGGATGACGGAATCATGGTCTGTCCAAACAATGGGTCCCACTCAGCAATAAAAAATAATAGACCGCAGCGACACCATGCTGTGGACGGACCTCACAGACACTGCGCTGCAGTGGGAGAGGCTGGCTCACAACCCCACGTGCTGCATGATTCCATTGATATAAAACTCCAGGACAGACAGGCTGATCTGTGGTTGCCTGGGGACTGGGAGGGGAGACGGAGGATTGGCTGGGAAGAGACACATGGGGGATGTGGGGGAGAACCGAAATCCCTGCTTTTGACTGTGGTGGTGGGTACATGGACTACAAATTTGTTAAGAGGCATCATCGTGTACCCTTAAAATGGGTGCCATTTATTGCGTGTAAATTATACTTCAATAAAGCTGACTTTAAAATTACTTGTGGGATGACTCTCAATGTTTTTAAAAGCTTCTCAGTCTGTATTCTGAGCTTGTTGCTAACCAGTAGCAAACAATCGACCCCAGTCTGGCTCCTGCATGGGTCGGGGACCTTGGGCTCACCCCACTCAGGTGATGAGCGCCTGCCTGGCCCTGGCAATGGCCTGGGCTGAGTTGCTGGATCCCTGTGGCAGGTGGCAAGGCAGGAGGTGACATTTCCTGCTGGCTAAGGGTGCGGGCTCTGTCCTAGCCGATCTTGTTTCGGGTCCTGGCTCCCACTTCACGGCTGTGACCTTGTGTGAGTCACTTCCCTCTCTGCCCCGCTGACCCTTTTGTGCTGGTACATTTGTGGCCTGCCTGAAGGTGATGCAGATCGGTTTGGGGGGAGAGGCTGCATCTCAGGTGAGGCCTGAGTGAGGGTGCAGCAGGTCCAGGACTGGTCAGGCAGCGCTGCTCTGCCTCCCAGGGTCCTCAGCGCAGCTCCCGGGCTGTGACCTTCAAACCTCCATTGGGGCTTGTTTTCGTGTGTCACCTCCAAGCCTCCTGCACTGCAGATCCTGCCAGAAGGTGGGCCTGGAAGTCACAGGTCACAGGGCCCCAAGCGAGAGTAAGGCCGACCATACAAACAGCAAGCTGAGTGGGACCCAGAAGTACTTGACGGAGACTCACCCAGGGTTCCCTGGGTCCAGTCTGTGTCGGCTGGCCTGTGGGTGCAGACGCTGGGCCCGTTTGGCTGAGTGCAGCCTGACCCCCCACCCCCTCCCCGGCTTAAGATCCTGACCCAGGCCCAGGATGTTGATAGGGCGGGGGCCAGCAGGGGCCCCTGCCCTGTCACCACGAGGAGAGGGAGGGAGGGACCTGCAGGCAAGGACTCCTCCGTCCCTCTGCCTGGGTGCATCCTCTGCTGAGGCCACCGGGGTTGAGCAAGTCCCTGAGTTGTGGGCTGGGGGGGACAGAGCCGGGTCACTGTGAACCTGTCCACAGGGGAAAGGTGGCTGGAAGTTGCCGCCTCCCGGTAGGGGTCTTCCTGCCTTCCACACACAGGCACAGGGCGTGCCTTCCTGGGTGAGGTACTTCTGGTGAGGCTGGCTGTCCTCCAGGCGTCCTGCTGTTTGAGCCAGTCAGGTTCTGTTAATCGTAGATGGCTGATAGTCCTGCGGGCCTAAATTACTCTGAATTCTCCTTTGAACCTCTTGTAGCATCGTGTAGTTCCCTCATTCATTAATAAATGAAATAAAAACATCAATGCATGTTCATTTTATATCTGCATGAGTCACAATTTTAGGGTTTTAAAAAATCACCCTTTAACAATTTATATTGTTACTGGAAAATGTGAACACTAATTCTATTTGCTACCAATGAATTATTGTCCATTTTCTTCAATGTTATAATGGTATTGCAGGTCATTTTTAATGCCCTATCTTTTAGAACTATACACTGAAAAGTTAAAATGAAAAAAAACTTTTTTGTCTTAAAAAATCAAGAGTGGAAATAGGCTCTGAGTCACCCAGTTATAGTTAGCTATAAGTCAGTGTGCATCAAAACGCCAGACGTCTGTTTTGTAACTGGAATGAGATAGATGAGTCACCTGTAGGCTGATTCTGAGCTCCTCTAGGTTCGTGGGTGGAAATGTGTGTCACTGGATAACCCTGCTTATTATTTGGGGAGGAATCGTGTGAGGAGCCCCTCTTGGTTGTGCTAAAATTAGGCTAGTGGGCACCATTGTCTGCGAAAAGAGGAGAGACTGCCTTTTGTTTGTGGGGCTGAACTTCTAGAGACCCTGGAATATGCAAATCTAAGCCACTGGAAGAGTTCATTTGCATAGGGCCAAGGATTCAGTCTGTCATTCTGCCTTTACGGGGTCCCCAGGGGAATAGGGTCCCCCAGGGAATGGCCTCAGTTCCAGGCATATGGATTAAACCCAGTCCCTCTTGGATCACAGCAGACGGCAGACCAGGCCCAACACAGCAGGTGCAGCGCAGCACTAAATTTGGACGTCACCATACGTGGGAAACGTGAAGCGACTGAAAGGACTCAGCGCAAAATTACCAACAGGAGAAAACAGAAGAAATGGGAGAAAACTAAATGGTAGGTGAAGCATAAAATGGCTGAATTAATACACTTAGGAGACCAGTCATGAAAGTTGAATTTAGGGAGGCTTGAATTTAGAAAAACTATTACAATTTTTCTGATGAATTGGGAGGGTCCCAACTGGGTCCTTCAGCAGAAAGTAACCCTAAAGCCCCAAAGGCGATTCTCCCTGCGTGATCTGGCTCAGCAGCAAGGGTTGCTGAGGCTAGACGCCCCTTTCCACATGGCCTCTCAGGCTCTCTGCTCTGGGAAATGATGTGGGGGCCTAGGAGTGTGACCTTCAAGACCTGCCACCTTCGACCCCACATGTAGGTCACCGGGGTGGGGCAGCCGTGAGCACCAGGGGGACGGGGTCGGTGGACAGTGGGGACCCATATTCATCAGCATCCTGACCCAAGACCATTTAAGTCTTGACCTTAACCTTGATCTAAGCAATGGAACTGAATTGAAGGAATCATGGGATGTTTTTAGTTCTTATAGGACAGTCCCTGTGGATGAGTAAACTCCCAGCATTCTTGGATAATTTCTGGAGAGTCAGACACTCTCAGAGGAGAGCACACTTCTGCTAATGAGAGATGTGGTGCTTCAGTGATTAACTGGAAAACCACTGTCCACAGTGTCCACCAGACGGATGAAATAGCTCTCACTCATGCCGTTAACTCCCCAAACATATGCTAACACCTGCTGTTGCGCCAGACTTTTCTGGACACTGACTATACCAAGGTCGATAAACTAAATGTCTGCCCCTAATAAACTCAAAATAACTCTTGGAGAAGACAGTCAAGTAAACAGGTGGTAATAACAATATGACAAATGCAGGGACAGAGGATTACCTTCTAGCTGTGTGTGTTTGGGAGGAACACTAAACAAGGAACAAGTGAAACATATTGCACGTTAAATAATAATAAATGCCCTGGAAAAGCAGACGATGAGGAAAGAAGCACGCAGACGAGGAGGGAGGGAACACTGCTTCTGGGAACAGGGTAGCTGCTGATGACATTTGAGCAGGCGCCTGCAGGAAGGTAGGGAGCCGGCCAGGAGGCCACGCAGGGTAGAGAGGGGACACTGCTAGCGCAGAGGCCCCGAGGCAGGAGCCTGTTGGGGCCCAGAGCCACAGGGCGGAGAGGGGGCGGGCCACAAAGGCGACATCGCTTCCCTTGAGGAAACCGGGACCCAGGGAGGGTTTGAGCAGAGGAGTGAAGGTATGCGACAGGCTTCCGGAGAACCGGGCGGCGGCTGCGCTGAGAACACACAGGAGGGGCAATAGCGGAACCAGGGAGCCCCGTCAGGAGGCCGCTCCGGGCATCCAGGGTAAAGGGGGGTTGGTGTGGCAAGAGGTCAGACTCGCACATATTTTGAACACAGGCTAGAACCAAAAGGATTTTTGGATGGCTTGAATTTAGAGAAAGAGAGGGAGCGAGGAGGCAAGGCGGGCTCCATGCTTTCGTGTTGTTGTTTTTAGTGAGTTATTGATAATAGCTACGGTTCGCACAAAGGAAAATTCACTGTTTTTGATGCAGAGTCTCGGGAGTTTTGGTAAATATATCCAGTCATGGAATCACCACCACAGTCAAAATCGAGAGCCAGTTCCATTCGACAAAAAAACATCCCTGGGAACACCTGACACTCCCTGGGGATCCTCTGGGGGCCCCATCCTCTGGCGGGCAGGCGTGAGCTCCGAGCTTTCACGACTTGAATAATGCACATGTGGTCTGATTGTACTAATTTAATCTGGCTTATTGCTCCCGTGATAACAAAATGAATTTTCTATAAATCTAAAACTATTCTAAAAACGAGGGTTTGAAGCAGGTATATCGGTTAGGAATACATTTAGCTGCACGGAAAAGAAGCTCCAATCACAGCCCAGTTTTGGAGACCCAGCAGGCAAGTCAGGAGCCTGGACAGGCCCTACACCCTCGCCCCACCTTTCACCAGAAAGAGCGGGGTTCCCGGGCGCTGAGCCTCCTGGTGGGAGGGCGGAACTGAAGGGAAGCGCAAAGGCCAGAGGTCAGGGAGGCAGGATAACTGGGGCCCCGGCCAGGTCACATCTAAACTCACACCCACCTGCCCTCATTTTAACCCCAAGTGGACCCCTGCTTCCTGGAAAAAAACAGGAACTGTGGCATAAATAATTTACTGAAATTGGAGGAATAAATAAGACATTTGGGCGGGGTTACAAATAACTACAAATCCTAACCTATGCAGACAGGAAGGTGCTCCCGGCCCGGGGTGGAGCCTGAGCTAGGGGCGGGGCCTCCCCGCGAGGCGAGCCGGCGCCGGCGCGCGGGCGCCCCCCAGAGGTAGACGGCTTCTTTACAGCCAGGAAAGCATGGCGGCGGCAGCGGCGCCGCGGCCGCCCGGCCTCCGGGTCCTAACGCCGGCGCTGCCGGGCGGTCCCCGGAACCCGTCCCGGGCGCGCTGTGGGCCCGCTGCCCTGCGAGTGCCCGCGGAGCTGCACCCCTTGCACGATCCTCTGCACCCAGGAGCGGTGGGCGGCCAGGCTGATGTAGACGCCGGGCCGGTTGCGCTCTGCACAGCCCTCGCCCCAGCTGATGATGCCAGCCAGCAGCCAAGTGCCCCCCACTTGGCACATCAGGGGGCCCCCGGAGTCGCCCTGCGGAGAGGAGGACTGGTTAGAGACCCTTGTGGGCCAGGGCAACCAAGCCCAGGACCCTAGGCAGCGGGTGGCAGACGGTTCCTTTCGCTGGGAGAGGGGGACATTTCTCAGTCCCGGAGGCCTTGCTGCCTAACTCCACCAGGGACAGGAGGGCAGGGAAGGCTGGAAAGGACATGCTTCCCAGGTTCCCTCTGGAGAGAAGCATTTTGTGGGAGACTTTCTCCCTCCCAGCCCATCGGTGGGGAGAATTGTTACTTGCTTTACAGAAGAGGAAACCGGAGCCCAGAAAGACAAAATGGCTTGCTTAGGTGGCAATGTGAGCAGCAGAGTAGAAAATGCAACCAGGGCCTTAAAATGTCCCAGCCTGGGTGCTGACCATGGCACCATCCTGCCACCCCCTCAGGAGATGCCAGCTCACGGGGGGAGGGGGGAAGCTGGCCCACCTGAGATGTTCAGTACACCTTTGATGAGTGAACATATAGGTGAATGGCCAAGCCAGGCTGAGGCTGGGCTCCGTAGACATCTGGGGTCTTCCAGGTCACAGCTAACCGGGAGGGTCCCAGCAAGCAGAGATGAGCTCAGTGGAACAGGCCTGGGGAGAGGGTATGGTGCTTACCAGACAGGCATCTCGTTCCCCCTCCATGTAGCCAGCACACAGCATGTCCTCGGTGATGACTCCCTGCCCGGCTCCCTGCCAGTACAGGCGGCTGCAGAGTTCCGAGTCGATGATGGGAACCTTCAGCTTCTGTAGGGTCTGCGGTTGGGGCAGGGGCACTGGGGGCAGGGTGAGGAGAGTCAGGCTTGGGAAAGACCCTACTAGTTGCCTCTCCAGTTCCCTCCATTCCCCTCAGTTGCATTTCCGAAAGGCTATGGATCAACTCTGTCAGGCTCTCTAAAAATGCCTGCAGAAAGCCCAAATTCCAGGCTCCACTCTGGACCTACTGAATCTGCACATGAGCACCTGAGATCTTTAACAGAGTCTCTGATGTCCACACAATGGTCAGAACCATGGTCCAGGCTCATCCCATCCTGGGCTTTACCCAGCATAGGGATGCTACGGAGTAACTGCTCAATAAATGACCACTCAGTGTGGAATGCATCAGGATTTGAGGAAGCCCCCACAGCCCAGACGATCTGCAGACCCTCCCCAGAGCATAATTCCAGCTCTCACAGGAGCCCTAAGGATGGATGTGGGGAGGCCGCCTGCAGTGTTGGAATCAGCGGGGTCCTCAGACACCTGAACTTGGTGTAATCTCCCTGAATTATTTTGGAAACTGGTTAAAGTCCCATTTTTCTTACACCCTTTACTTAGTCCTTTTTCTTTTGCCTTTTCTTAGTCCCTCCTGATTGCTCTTCTCCCTCTCTCTGTTCTGCTTCTCTACCTCTTATTTTATCTAATCTGCTTTGTGTTTCTCAATTTTTCCGAACCTCCAGACTTGGTCTGACAATTTTATTTTACGATCATGGAGACTATAGCCTCTTGGGGATTTGGTTGCAATTATAGAATACTGCCGCCAGGGGGTGCCTGATCCCACTTTGGAGTCTGGGTTGTTTCATGTTCACTGGATTTGGCTGGGCCCCACATCTGTCCTTTCAACTATCCCTAGATTGCTTAAAAGCTTCGTTGCTCTGGCTGTTGCCTCAGAACCTGGCCAAAAATGCCTTTAAACTATAAATTATCCAAAGTTGTCCACCTCGGTTTTGACTTCTAGAATTGCAGCCCATTTTTGTCTCTGCTGTGCTGTGCCTCTGGCCTCTACCCTTTGCTGTCATGGCACCTGCGTCTGAGTGTCCACTACCCTCTGTCCCCATCCAGCCCCAACCAGCTGGTGGGAAGAAGCCGCACCTCCATCTCGGACACTCCCCCAGCCTGCAATCCAGCAGTCGGTGCTCCGAGGCAGGTGGACAGAGGAATCAGGCAGGCAGACCGGCAGGATGCGCTCAGAGAACTGGACGGAGTGCTCGAGGCGCACCAGGGCGATGTCTGCACGGGAGACACCCCTCCAGGAGTACACAGGGTGGGGCTGCACCCAGGCGACACCCACCGTCTGGGACCTCTGGCCAGGGTTCCCCAGCTGCCAGGCCCCCAGCAGCACAGAGAACTGGGAAGGCTTGTGCAGGTTGCTGGAAGAAAGGGGGAGCGTTGGGGTCAGCCAGGGACCTCCAGGTGGCCAAGAGGGCCTGGGAGGCAGTGTGTGGGCACAGGCACCTATATGAAGGCCCCTGGAAAACAGAAGAGGCTCCTGGGAGGAAGCAGGGTTTCTCCTGAGGGGACCGAAGACTGGACCGAGGGCTGGGAGCCAGGGCTGTGAAGGGAGCCCAGGATCGGGGCAGGACGCCTGGGAATCAAGGGGCGCAGACGGGCCCTACCTACCCTTTGAAGCAGTGGGCAGCGGTGACCGCCCAGCGGCTGGTCAGCAGGGAGCCTGCACAGTGGTGGGTCCCGTTCCTCTGGATGCTCACCACCCAGGGCCACTCGGCATCAGCGCTGTCCTCACCACCCACGACCCGGCTCAGACGCTGGGGCTTCCCGCAGGCTGGGGGCGCTGGCAGAGGAGGGTCCCAGTCTCTGTCATCCGCCCAGCACCATCCTCGCCCCCTTCCAGCTTCCCCCCACCTCCCTCCGGGGCTCTGACCCGCGCACCTCCTGCCCCGCCCTGCACACACCCGCCCTGGCCGGGCCTCCCCGCTCCTGGTCTGGGCTCCCCCTCCAGGCCCCTCTGCCCGCCTCCCGCTCCAGCGCCCCCCACAGACGGACTCACAGACCCTGTCCTCCCCTCACCGCCCCATCCAGGGCGGCTCCTACTCACCAGGTGTCTTGGCAGCGTCCAGGGTGGCTGAGGGCAGGAGAGGTCAAGGGTCAGCCCGTGGGGAGGGGCCCCTATCCCAGGGCCCAGCGGCCCAAGCGCTCATCCCCTCGGGCCCTGCTGGGTCCAGGCAGGGCAGACAGAACCCCAGCCTCCAGCCTGGGGCTGAGGTCTAGTCCTGGGCCCTCTCTCGCTGAGGGGAGGAGTGGGGAGCACACACCTGACCCTCAGGCTTTCCTCCAGACCCAAGTCTATGGCCTGACACCCCTGCCCCTGCCAGGCCGCAGGAGGAACACAGAGGGGCGCCGGGGGGAAGGGAGCAGGTGGAAGATGACTGATAATAACAGGGGAGCCGAGGATGCCAGCCTCTGTGTGCCAGGCCCGCGCTTGAGCCTGCCTGCAGTGCTTCACGGATGCTCACAGCTGCGGGGAACTGAGGCAGTGCAGAGAGCAGGCAGTGTGTGGAGGGCACCAAGGGAAAGGAGCTGACAGGGAAAGGTGCAGGAGGAGGGGGACCCTGGAAGGGCAGAGGAGGGAGGGCAGCAGGTCCCCAGACTCACCTGGAGCCGCTAGAAGCAGCAGGGAAGTGAGGATTCGGAACCCGCTCCCACCCAGGGCTGGGGGCATCCTGGAAGCCACCGAGGCGCGGGGCTGGCGGCGGGAGTGTGCACGCCTGCTGCAGCCGCCCCGGGTTTTATCCGGCAGGTGGAATGCCGTCGGACCAGTCCCCTGAGTGAGTGGCTCAGGCCCCGCCCCCGGACTGTCAGTCACGGGAGTGGGTGGGGCTGTGGGGAGGAAATGCGCCGTAACGGGGACTGGGGCCTCTAGCTGAGACCCCCACCTGCGACCTGGGTCAGTGGAGCCAGAACTCTGACGCTGGGGCTCAGGACCCAGGCTCCGGGTGCGGGCCCGGCCCCAGCGATCCAACCCGGCCTTGACACTGACTGGGGGGGCGGGCAGAGTGAGGTCCCCACAGCTTGAAAAGATGCGGCTCTGGGTGGGGAAGTGAAGGTGCTCAGACCCCAGAGCCTGGGTCTGCACTGGCCGAAGACTGAGGTCTGGGGTCTTGGGGTGGCGCCAGGGCCCAAGGGAGGTGGGCTGGCAAGGGGGCTGCCCAGAGGCTTAGCAGAGGCCTCCTCCTCCAGGGTCCCCGGATGCCGTGCCTCGGCGGGAGATCTGGCCCAGCCCAGGCTCTGGGCACCGTTAGCCCACTTCCCAGAGAGCTGCGAACGAGACCCCCAGTGGCCACGTATTTGCATGACAGCTCACCCCTCACCTGGACATCCCTGCAGCCCAGGTGGGGCTGCCAGGTGGGGAGGACGGCCAGGTGCCCCCTGGCTGTTGACTGATGAGCTGCCTGGGATGGTCTGGAGTGCCCAGTCCCACACCCACCCCTGCCTTGCACTCCTGGGACACCTCACACACGCACCCCCCTGGGGTCAAAGGCCTTTGGGCTGTGCTTGGGAGGCTGGGTGGGGGCCGGACCCACCCCTTCACAGCCAGGGTGCTTCCCCAGAAATCTGCCCCTCAGCCCCGCGCTAGCCACAGCCCCACCCCAAGCAGGGACAGGCCCCTCCCTCCCCTTGTTCTTACCCGCATTCCTTCTGCAGCCGGGGAAACTGAGGCCCCCTAGGGAGGCTAGTGATGTGCCCAGGGTCCCCAGATGGTGAGAGGCAGAGCCCGGATAGGTACCCCAGTTCTGGAGAGGGGCCACTGGAGTGGACTCAGGACAGCCAGAGGGAGCTCAGTCCAGTGGGTGGCAGTAACCCCTGGGGTCAGAGGAGCTGGGTGGGCGGGGCGGGGAGCCCAGCGCAGGCTGCTCAGGGGAGAAGGACCCCGGTGCGTCCTGCAGGGCAAGTGGAGCTGGCCCTGCAGAGGGTGGGCATGGGGTCCAGCAGAGGGGGGACCGGGCATGGGCAGGGGAAAGGACTGAGGGCCGGTGAGCCTCGGGCTGGGCCGCCACAGGTGGGTCCCCGTGCCCAGCCCCTGGGCAGACAGCCACAGCCGCACAGCTTGGCCAACACGCTCTGCCCCCAGAGCCAGCCCTGGGGTGGACTCCGTCCTGCCACCTCCTCAGGCTGTTAGGGTCCCCCGGGATTGTCAGCCCCCCAGAGGATGATGGCTGTGTTCCTGGCCCCTACTTCCTGGGAGGGCGGGGAGCACCTCGGGGTTAAACTGCAGGCTAGACCACCCCTTCACATCCAGGTGATCCCCTGCCTGCCCCCCACAAAGATAAGCCCAGGAGAGGGGTGCAGGAGCCCTGAACAGCCCCCAGTAATTATGTGTCCCAGGACCAGTGGGGGAGCCTGTGGGGAAACACCCCGGCGGAGAGGCCAAGGTGAGGGGCAGTTTCTATGGGGCCCCAGCAGCAGAAATACCAGCAGCTAGGTGGGGGGAGGTGCCCCTCGACTCACCTGCTCATCATCCTGGGTCTGCCTGTGCACCCACAGCTAGTCACGCCACTCCCTCATGACCCCCGACCTCCTCCCTTCCTGAGTCCAAGGTGGTTGGCCTCCTGGCTCACTCACAAAGCCCTTACTGGGCACCTGCTGTGTGCCAGGCACCAGGACACAAGGATGAATTGGACACAGGTCCTCTCCTCAGGCAGCAGAATCTCCCTGGGAGTGGGAGGCAGATGGGTACCAATGACAGTGAGGTGTCAGGTGCTGTGCAGGTAGGAGTGGGGTGGCGGGGAGAGTCAGGCAAAGAGGGGTGGTGGGCACAGACCCTGGAGAGCCGCCCTGAAGTTGTGTGCTGTGACTTGAGTGTATGGAGGCTCCCTGTGGATGCTCAGAACCTAGGCCAGTGCCTGGTGCATGCTGGGTTTCAATGGATGGTTGTTGAATGAATAAACGAGTGTGGAAGAGGTGAGTCCAGAGGGTTCTGCTGGGGACCTACCACTCCAGGCTTCTGCCTCTCCAGTCCAGCTTTTCTTGCCTTTCATAAGACCTGGATCACTGCCCAGGTGACCCAAGGGACAGGCATGTGGCCCCAGATGCTGCTGTCCCATGATGGGGTGGCCAGGAAGAGGGCCCTAAGGAGAAGCGTCCGATAGGAACCAGAGGAAGTCCTGAGAAGCCAGTGATGACTTCCCAGCACAAGTTCTGGGCAAGGACAGCAGAGACTGACTCTCTAATTGCCAGGGAACAGAGACCCTGGCATGAGTCAACATTCATTCAGCAAACCTACCTACTGAGCGCCCACTGAATGCTGGCCCCACACAGCATCCAGGTGGGCTCCTCCTCACCTGGGCACGAGGTGAGTGGGCTGCTTACCCTGCCGCCCACCCTGCTGTGTCCCTGCAGGCCATCTCAGGGCCACTGACACCTCACAGCGAGGTATGGGTGAGGACAGAGCTGTGGGGGTATTGCCTGCACAGCTGGCGCCGGCAACGCTCAAGCCAAGAAGTGACTCACCAAGTGCATTTCAGGCACAGGAACCTGAGGCAGGCAGGTGGGAGCAGCCGCTCGTTACCCAACCACATCTCCGAGCAGCCGCCGTGAGCCAGGAGCTGCCCCGGGTGCCGCAGAGACAGCTTCAGGCCTGAGGGTTCGTCAGCTGCAAATCTGGGGACAGTAGGGTGTCCCTCTGACTCCTGAGAGAGGCCCTGATGGGGAGCTGCATGGGGCCTCGCCAGGGCGAGCTTGGTGGGCCCCTGCTGTCCTCTGTGCTTCAGATGCCCATGTGCCCTGGCCCTGGCTGGCAGGTGCCCGGTGTTGCTTTCTGCAAGGGGAGGCTGGTCTCTCTGAGCTGGGGAAGGCGAATCCTCCCCCGAGTGCGACCCCGCTGTGAACCACCCGCCCTGGGCCCGGCTCCTCTGTCCTAGGGTCAGAGCTGCAAACCAAGTATGGGAACCAGCCCTCCAGTACGTTCCGTTAGACCTGCAGGTGTGTGTGTGTGTGTGTGTGTGTGTGTGTGTGTGTGTTTAAATTGAGCAAATCCACATTTTAAAAAGCCCTGACTTTGACCAAAGCTGCTGTGAGCACACGAGGTATCCATCTGACCTGCCCCAATGGACATGTGCACTGCCTACAGCTGCTGGACTGACCCGTGGGTGAGGGGACAGACAGCACAAGGTCCATCCACCAAGGCACAGCCCCACCCTGGCGAGGGCATGGGGCATTCGGGCAGCTCCTGCTATGGGGGGCGTGGGGGAGTGGGAGGTAGGGGCCCCTGAGGTCCGGCTCCTGGGGCGGAGCGAGCAGAGCCCCCCTAAGGAACAGGCTCAGCTTATCTGTGAAGAGGTTGGGCCAGCACCACCAGGCCTATCCTGACGCCTGACGTGACAGGAGTGAGGGCTGTCCGGGTGTGAAGGGCTGGTAGCCTCGCAGGGCTGAGTGCCGACTGGGCAACAGGCCGTGCCGTGCTCCTCTGCAGGCAAGGATTTCCGGGGCACTAATGGTTTCGAGGAACCTGGCCTGGCCGGCCCCGGAAGCACCAGAGGACACTGCTTACCGGCTGGCGTTTCATCACTGGGGAAGTCCTTCTTCCAGTCCAACCACACTCCCCAACTATCCTGGGAACCTGGATGTCAAGCCGGACTTCCTGCCTCTTGGAGACTTGAGTCAAATGGCCACAACCCCATCCCAGGTTGCAGGCCCCACCCCAAGTTCCAGGCACCCCCCTCTCTGAGCCTCACATTTCCCTCTGCCTCTCCCCAGGCTGCTCGCAGCCTGCCCTGCGCAGCTGTGCCCTCCCCCCTTCCTCACCTGGTGTTTCAGGGTGCTTGGAGGCTCCGCTGAAGTCTCACACTGCACACGCACCAAATCCTTGCCCCCTCTGCCACTGCTGTGGCCCTGGGCTGTGGGGTCCAGGCATTCCACACATGCACATCCGCCACCAAAATTCGAGGGAGTAAAATTTTTGGCTTCTTATAACATTGTCTGTGACCCTGACATTTCCTTCAGATGGAGTTGACGGTCCCCATCATTGCCTAGTGTTCCTCTCTAGGGATGGATCCCCCTGCCCTGCCCCTTCCTGCACCCTGATTTCTAACTGCAGAGCCCCCACCCCTCACCCTGCTGTCTGAATATTTGATGCTGGCCTTCTAGGGTCCAGGTGTTAATTGTGTGACTCCAAATACCTTTACTCTGGCTAAACTCTTCCGGGAACAGAGAGCGTTGTTAGCTCTTGTGTTCCTCTAAGAACAGGCATTTTCTTCAGCTGCATTTACACCTGGTCCTTCATCCCTTACTGGCCTCTTCTTTCTCTGTGGCACTTAGAGTAGTCTGTTAGGTTTTTCCCACGGCCCTTTCCTCCTTCAGAAAATGTGTCTGTATACTAGATTTCTTAGAGTAAATTACATTTCCCCATTGACTCCTATTATTCTCATGGCAAAACACCCCATCGGCCTTGGCCTGGGCATCTGCAGGGAAGGTGGTGGTCAGTCCTCCTACTGAACTGTCATTGGCCTGTCCACTCTGGGGGCCAGAACCCTCAGCTGACCCCTGGTCTGTATGCTGCTCCCTCTGGTCAGTGAGGCGCCCTTTCTACTGCTGCCAAACGCCACCCCCCAGACACACACACACAAGAATTCTCTCCTTGCATCTGTGGCTAATTCAGGGATGACACGTGAGCGTGGAGCCCCTCTTGCTTTGTCTGTTTGCCTTTAAAGTAATATGTTTATTAAAGGGGTGTGTTGACTCAGGTTCCTGCTGGCTGGCAAGAATTGACTGTTTTTTCAGGAATTTTGCAAATGGTTGACATTACACTAGCCCCTTGCATGGTGGGACAGTTCACACCACGGGAAGCAGCAAATGCTACAAAACAGGACTTCTTCCCCAGAGAGCCCTCTGTGAAATACTAGCCAGCATGCCCCTCCGTGCCAGCCCCAGTGCCCCCATGTGACCAGCATATCCTGCAGCCAGACCCCTCACAGGCAAGCACACTTCTCTCACTGTCCCCGGGACCACACACGGTGGAGAAAGCTGTCTGGAAGGGCAGCGCTTCCTCCGTGCATGGGGAGCCCTGGCGGAGAAGGCTGGTAGCACCTGGTGGGAGGGCAGAGCAGAGCAGGCCAGCGGGTGAGCTGGCTGCTGGGCCACCACGGCTGGGCCACACAGCTTCCAGCACCGCTGGTAATGCATCAGTGACTCACAGGCATAGCACAGAGGGCAGGACCTTGGGGGGAGAGATCAGAAGTCACAGCCCAAGGAGAGGAAGCAGCTGACGGCACAGGAGGAGCCGTGTCTGGGGCACAGGTGCAGAATGAGGGCCCGGGGTCAGTTCCAGAGGGGAGGCCACGGAGCTGGGTCATGCCCGTCCTCCTGGCCCTGCCTTCGGGGTGCCTCCTGGGCAGTGACCACCCCACAGGGACCTGGCCAGCCACGTCACACAGGAAAGAGAAGCAGGGAGAAACCGGCTCCTGCCTCCCCCGCAGGGTGGAGACCCACCTCCAGCCACGTTCCTCCTGCCCCTCAGCTTCCAGGGCACAGTGACTGTGCAGACTGGCACAGGCTGGCACAGGCTGGCTCCTGCTGAGTCAGAGCGAGGGGCTTTTTCCACCTGCACAGGCCTGGAGGAGATATGAGGCGCCTACCTGGCTGCGCTCTGGGGGCCGGGGACTTGGACTCCCAGCAGACATCCCAGAATAGGGAATGTTGAGGTTCCCAAGTCCGGACACTCCCGCAGGCCCCTCCATCTCAGAAAATGGTACCGCCTGCCCCCCAGATGCTCAAGCCAGAGGACAGAGTCACCCCTGATTCACCCTTTCCTTCCCACCCCACATCCAAAAAGCAAAAACTCCTCCTGCACACACGGCTTCCAACACTAGGCTTGTGGGATTTTCCACACCACGCAGTTCTCCACTCTGCGCACACCAGCTGGTGTCCCGTGTCCTCCCATCTGACTCAATTCAGCACTAGTGGGTTCATGCAGACCCCACAGGTGAAGATCTCAGCCCCACAAGACTGTTCCCCCTAAGATGCTGATCCCAGGGTACCCGCACCTCTGTCTGATGCCGCTACAGGTCAGGGTTCCCGGGACCCCCTCCTCTTGTCCAATAGTTTGCTAGGAGGGCTCACAGAACACAGGGGAACATTACTTACCTTTCCTGGTTTATTATGTGATAAAGGGTCCAGGTGAGTGGCCAGCTGAAGAGGACACAGATCAAAGTCCAGAAGGGGCCTGGGTGCAGGAGCGTCTGTCCCTCAGAGTTTTGGGGATCACGCGCTCCTGCACGCGGATGTGCTCACCAACCTGGACGCCCTCCCAGCCCTTCCTTTGGGGGTTGTTATGGGCTGTGATACAGTGAGTCGTAAGAAGTACATATTTGGTCATTCATACCAAATACGTATTTCCCAGGTGTATTGGTCTCCATCTGCAGTTCCTGGAAACACCGCTGTCTTACAGGTGGAAGGGGTGTTTGGCCATGTTCATGAGACTTTTGGGCCCCACCCAAGGTCAGGGGCTGGAGGCTGGCCATCCAATAATCTAGTCAATCGTGACTATGCAGTGAAGCCCTCACGAAACCCCTGAGAAGAGCTTTTTGCTCTCAGTCTGCTGTGCTCCCTTGGGTCCTGTTTCTCAGTTGGGGAGGGCGTCTAAGCCTGGGGAGCCAGATGCCGCCACGTGCCCCCAAGCCAGGCCCCAGGCTCCACGAGCACAGAAGCTTCTGTATTGGGGGCCTTGTCCTGTGTCTCTCTTCATCTGGCTGTTAACTTGTATCCTTTATTAAACTGGTGAACCTAAGTGTTTTCCTGAGTTCTGTGAGCCGCTCTAGCAAATCAATCAAACCTAAGGGGGAGGTCGTGGGAATCTCCAGTCTGCAACCGGTAGGTCAGAAGCACAGGGAACTGCCTGGAGCTTGCGACCAGCGACCAGCGCCTGGAGTTGGGGGCGGAGGGCAGTCTTGTGGGACGGAGCCCTTAGCCTGGAAACCCGGTACTGTCTCTGGGCACACAGCGTCAGGGCTGAGTTGAGTTCTCCAAGACCCTGCTGGTGCTCGAGAACTGCTTGGTGTTGTACACAGGAAGACCCCCTCCCACATACTTACGCACACTGGAATCAGGTCCTGGTACCCGAATGACGTCATACTACTATTATATTACTGCTGGGTATAATATTGTGACTGTTGTACATGTATGTAGGGGAGAATATGCCATGGCATTTGGTGTCAGAAATGTTACAGGGAACCACCCCAGAGACATGTCGTACCATCGGCTCAGTCTCCAGCCCCCATCCCCAGGGTACAAGTGGGGCTGGAAGTTCCGAGCTTCTGATCAGGGCCTGGGCTTTCCGGGGCCAGCCCCATCCAGGAGCCATCCCAAGCCCACCCAGAGCCACCGCATTAGAACAAAAGGCACTCCTGTCACCAGGAAATTCCAGGGGATTCAGGAACAGGAACAGAGGCTGATACATTTATTTGTAGTGTAAGGGCTGACACCAAGCTGTTCCTTGCAGAGGCATGCATTTCAAAGACTCCCACCTCTAATAAACACAGCTACTAGCTCACAGCTCAGGAGCTGGGCCCCCTGCTCATGAGGGTCCCCCCTAGGAAGTCCTGGGTGGCCTGATAACCTACCGTGAAGACCCTGTCACCCCCTCCCTAACTCCCACTCTTAGATTTAAAATTTGCCAATAAACCTGTGAAACCCTAGCGTCCAGACTTGGCACCTCATAAAGGAAGACCCCCCTGGGCTGTGCTCCCCGCTCCCTCTCCCAGGCCTGCTGGTGGCCCTAGGGCGTGCCATGTACCCTCCAGGACTGTGAGTAATAAATCTGTGTGTTGCTGGTGTTTTTTGGCAAAGTTCCCTGATGGTCGTTGCTGAGGTGCATCTTGCAATCATAAGAACCACAAGGGCTAGTCCAGGCACATGTGTGGGGGACTTCGTCACAGGTAGGCGGGCCAGGGCCTCAGACAGCCCTTAGCCAATGGCATTGCCAGGGGTGAGCTGAGCCGAACACATTTCTTGTTATCTCCCACCAATCTGTCGGCAGGTCGTGTTTCCAGCCTGGAACAGCGGAGGGTCCCGGCTCTTCTTCCCACCTCCTCCGGCACCCGGACGCCAGCTCCCCTCCAGCGACTCCCCCAGCAGCACCAGTGAGACCACGGCCCTTCCCAGGAGGTCCCAGCTCCCCCTCCCCTCCCTCCATGCACCGCACTGTCGCGCCTGCAGCCCCCTCGCCCTGCACCCTGATCCTGTTGGCCACCCTGGCCCCTGTTGCCCCTAAGCCCTGCTCGTCCCAGGGCCTTGGTACGTGCTGTTCTATCTGCCTGGAGGATCTTAGCCTCATCTTCAGAGCTGACAGGTTCTCTTAGGTCCTGGGTAGGCGATCCCCTCTGTTATTCTTTTATTCAGCCCAGTATGGAAAAGTGTGGAAAAATCCCATCCCACAGCCTTTGGCTATCTCTGATTAGGCTGTTTTACAACTCTGTAGAGACAAGTTAATTGACAGAAACTGATAGTAATGCAAATAATCCCTACTGCTGGAAAGGCAAGCCGCATCCCACCAGGGCACCCGACGTCCCTGTGAGCGCCACAGCTTGGCCAGTTTGCCTGGGCCCGCACTTCTCTTTCCGCTCCCTTGTCTGACTATAAACGTGTGGTAGTTTGAGTCCTCTTTTGAACAAGTTGTAATATCCTACTGGCTCCCTCCTTCACTGATAAATTAAACTTTTGAGATAATCTTAGGAAAGTCACAATTTTACCTTTTTGTGAAAATAATCCTTTAATGGCAGTTTGCACACTTCTCTCATTAAAGTTAGTATGTGTTTATTGGTTTATAAAAACTAGCCAGCAAACTGTATGTTCTGTGAGGATAGAACATTTTTTGCTCCTTGGGAAAAATTGTGGAAGTCTTTGAAACAGGCCAGGAAGGTACATGGGTGTCCGTCCCGTGGAAGCAGGGGCTGCCCCACAGACCCCCTGGAGGGCCTGATTCTGTCAGGCTCTGTGCCTGTCTTCACCTGGGCTCTTCCTCAAGCACATTTCCCCCTCCATCTTGCAGAAAAGATGATTCCAAACATTACACTTTCTTGCTTCGGAGGATACTGACCAGTTCTGCAGCCATTAGCAAATTGATCTGAGCATTCCTGAGTCCTCATACATGTCTCTTCTTCACATTCTCTTTTAAACCAGTTTTAATATCTTGGTTTCTTCATGATTAATGAGTTAAAATGTTTGACACATGCCCATTTCATATTTTTCTGAAAGTCATAATTTTACCTTTTTAAAAATGACTATTTTTAAATAGTAATGAAATTAACTTTAAAAAAGCTATTATATCCTAAGTGCTTGGCATGTAAGGCCCCAATTTTGTTGATTAATTAAATGCAACACCTTACAAATTTTTGCTTAATATAACAGACTACAGATTCCATTTTTCCCCGTTTTATATTATTGGGCTCATATTACTCCATTATTTTAAACATAACATGCTTTGGTATCTTCCCATGTCACTAAACTCTCCACTGACAACACGATCATTAATGTTATATAATATTACATCACGTGGTCCCCAGCTTTCGGGTGCCAGGGCCCGGGACTGCCCAGGGAAGCCTCAACAGATCAGAATCTGCCCCTCACCTGTGTCTGCCCTGCACAGGCTGTGCTGCCAACCTCCGCTTGTCCCACACCTGGCACCCCCATGCTCCCCTAAGCAAGGCAGATTTTCAGCCAGGACGCTCTGATAGAGCCAAACTGAATGCCCACTGCAGGTTCATAAGTAGCCACTTCCCCAAGACCCTGACTGCCCCTTCATGCCCAGCTGCCCCGGCCCTCCCCTAAACTGCCCCACAATCTAGCAAGTAAAGAGTTAATGCCTCTACAAGGCAGCAAGCCTGTTATGATTGTTTTGTACTTATAAAGAACTGATTAAATACTTTTAATATTGCTCCTGCACTGGCCCGGGGGTGGGGGCAGGGCGCAGCGCCGGCACCGAACCGAACAAGTCCCGGGCTCCCTGAGCTCGGATAGCGTTAATATATCACCGTCATTTCTCCTGCTTTCTCCCAACTGGGTCAACCCTCAGTGTCCTTCCCAACTGGCGTCAGATGGGCACTGCTCTGTTTGTTGTCCTAGACCCGCAGTTTGTAGAGCAGCCCTCGCTGGTGAGGGCTGACGCCGCTCCAGCATCATCTGGACCCCAGTTCCAGCAACCTTGCGGGCTGCCCCCGTCAACACCGGAGCTCCCGGCATCCTCCGTCGGCCCGAAGCACGGTCCTCCCCGCTGTGCAGGAGGAAGTGAGCTCGGAGAGGGGACGGAGCTGGTCCCGGTCCACTCGGCTGGAAAGTAGGAAGAAGGGGCAGTACAAGCTGGGTAAGAGGGAGCCTCCGTGCCTTGGCGCCCCCAACTGGTCACCAGGCGTGGGCGTGGCCCCGCCAAGGAACACCTGCAAAGGGCTGGCACTGCAACTGTCTGCTTTGAGCTTCAGCCGGCTGGTGGGGCACAGCTATGTTTTGAAAACATGTAATAAACATCTATTCACTTCAGCTGGGCAGCTTCCTCTTCCTATTCGAGAGCAAGAATCACCCTCGGGACGCAGGCGCTCCCGTAAGCCCCGCCCGCCGTGGGCCGGAGCCGTGGCCTCTCGGGGCGCGCCCGGACCCCCCGTCGGCCCGGGGCCGGGACTTGGCCCGCGCGGAGGGAAAGCGTCTGCACGGCCCTGGAGCCGAGAAGCGGGACCCCCCACCCCCGCCCCGGGTCCCCGCGGCCGCGTGAGGGCCACGAGCCCCGCTCCTCCCCCGGCCCGGAGCTTCCCAGCGCTTGGAAGCCCCCTTCAAGATGTGACTGTGACCCCCAGAAACGGGGCAGACATGGGCTGCTGGAACCGGCTTGCGCTGAGTCGTTCGAGCTCATGGTTAAATGTTCACTATTTTGCGAGCGGGATGTTAAGTACGTTCATTACCTTTTAAAAGTCATTATTAAAAACTGAATGATGCAAAGCTACGATAAGTAAATTACACCAAAAACAAGGGTGGCAAATACTCAAAATCCATCACTTCCTATTATTTAGCCGTATTTTAGTGTTGTCTGTGTTCTTGGGATTTTTGTATCCATATACCTGTATGGTGGAAACACTGTTTAATGGTGCGCCACTGAGCATTTAATTTCCACCTCCACATTCAGAGATCATGCTGGTAGAGCCACGGTGGGGACATTCACACCATAGAAATCGGCAGACCCTGGAAACCCCTCTCCCTTCCCTTCCCCTGTGCCCCCTTACCCAGCACACCGCTTGGGTCAGACAATGGCCACGATTGACAGACAAGATAATAAGGACTGTGTCTTTTTTCGGCCGGCCCAGGAACATAATCAGTTGCCTTTTTATTAAGGCCCTGCACAGGTCCTGACTATGGTGCTCAGAGAATGTTTGAAGAAAGGGTCGGAGAGGAAATTATGTGCTAAACTGGTCTCTTCATCAGTTTACTTAAGGTCAGCTTGCCTACCCCTGACCTTGACTGTGACTCTCACTGGCCCTTTTTCCAACTGTCCTAACAGCCTTCATTGGATAGCGTGCAAGGGCTTGAATGCCAACAGTAGTTTCCCTCCTGAAGGTCAGCCAGGGGAGGATTTTGAACCAGGGGTGTGAACCTTAAAAATAAACTGTCAGTCATTTTGCCAGCAAAAATGGTTTATTCAGGAATAGCAGAGAATTGCAACCCAGGATAAACAGCTATGAAAACCCTTGGCAAGTTTGGAGAACCAAGCAGAAGAACTCTTTTATAGAAGATGTGAGGTGGAAGCAGATGGACTGTTCTAAGCAAAAAGCCCGCTGGAGGAAACTGGGAGTCCTGCATGTCGTGGCTGCTCACTGGCTGAGTCGTGACGGTGCTTCCTGGGCTGGGCTGCTGCCGGGCTACTGCTGCGGAAGCAGAAGTCTTCCCTCCTCCTGCTGGTGGTAAAGTAGCCAAAATAGTTGTAAGGCGTCTGTCTCTCCTGCCTGCGGAGGCTGCTGCCGACTTGGAGCGGTGGGCCGGGCGCTCCCCCTGCAGGCCCCCTGGGGCCCTGTCCGCGGGGCTTCCCTCTCCATTTTCACAGTGGTATAATGCAAATTGCTTCAGGCCCGTAATCAGGACAGGCTGAGGAGAG